ACTTTTTGAGATGGTAAAAAAAGTTTAAAAGTTTATGCAGCATCTCTAGAGATTTGGTAGATACTGCTGAATACAGATGGTACTTATCAAAGATATTATTTTTTTTTTTTGAAATTTCCTTGTAATTGTGAGAAAATGTATTTTTCGGATACGAATTTATTGTAAAGTAATATTACAACGCGATAATAACCCAACTATAAATCAAACATTGGAAAATATAAATATAGGTATACTTTGATCAATATTATAGTTTGAATTACGGCCAATTAATACATTTTACAATATTATGGCGCCCGGATGCAGATGTCATTTTTGTCCAAAACACCCACACCAAGATAATAATAATCATGCCTCGTAAAACCAACCTAATTGTATGAATTTTTTTAACCAATAATAAAATTGAATACAATTGTCTTATATTTAAATTTAAAATTATTCTGTTACGGTCATTTTTCAGAAAGCTTTACCATTATATTAAATGTAAGTGCCATAAGTGTACACAATACAATTCAAATGTAATTAAAACCGTAATAATAATAAATATTAAGCTTAAAGAACGTCGTCCAAATTAAGTTATGATCAAAATGTTAAGTTGAAAATAATTATAGTTATGCCGATTTCCAATATTCTCGTATATATAGTTGTCTACCGAAGCGTACAGTATTAAATGTGATTAAAATTACCATGGTAAAGCAGTGCCAATCTAGGCTATAGTAGTTAATTAGTACATTTTTATTTTTTTTTTTCACGAAAAATTACAATTATGACATCATAACATACTTTGTGTAAAAATGATTGAATTTTCATATCTATACTTCTGTAGTATCGATACCTACTATATAAAGCGTCGACGTTAGTTTAATATTATATACCTTTACTTAAAAATATCTATATTTATAATTTGTACTTCAATATTATTAATTAAGATGATAATATGATGAGCCGAGCTAATTACTTTCAGCATACAGACATATTTTAAAAATAAATTGTATAACATAATAAGTGATCTTCTGTTGTAAACAACAGTGAACACAAAAATCACACAGAATTAATGTAGGCACCTACACAAAATGTATATTATCATTTTTAAACAAAATGCTTTTATTGAAAATTAAATTTTAAAAGAAAATTTATAATTTTAAATTAATATAGAAATGTACACAATGTACGAGTACAATAAATTATATGAAACAAATATATCGAATCAATGGAATTCGAAAACAAAATTAGTTATTTAAAATTTAAATATAAACTGTAAGTCTGTAACACGATGAAATATTTATAACTGTATAATTTTAGACCAATAAAATAGTCTCTCATGAAGAACCGAGAAATGTAAAACATTAATATTATGTTGTGAATATTCAATATTTACACATAATTTATCTAGTGAACGCCAACAAATTTGATTAAAATACTTCTAATTAGTTTGAACTTTGAATAACCAAAAATAAACTATTCGGCTTAGTTTGTAAACTTATATAATATTATGTTTATTATACAAAAATAATAATTATTATACTTCGATCCTTATTATTTTAACTGCATTATATTTACAAATAAATAATATCAGAGTTTTTATCAATGTTTAATAATTCCTTATCGCTTATATATTGAATATATAAAATACTATTATACGGAGGTACAAAATACAAGGTAATAAATTGAAGTGTCTACTCATTATGTCGAAAAATTTCAACATTTTTGAAAATAATATTTTTAATAATTTAGTGTCATTGCAAAACATTGTTTTTTTTTTAATTATATTATTATTGTATTTTTTTATGTTTTTTAATGAAAAATACATTTTTAATTTCATATATGCCAAAGCAGAATAATTTTGGAAGTATTTCGAAACATATGAACGAATTTCGAACGAGTAGCTAATTATTAGTTATAACTTATAAGTATTTAAAATGTCGATAAGCGGAGTTGTGAACCTACATTTTTCGGTGTACCTACCCTTGTGCCACTACTCCACTACTCAACTCATCAAAACTTTAAATACTTACAAGTTATAACTAATTAATTACTTGTTCGAAATTCAATTTTTTTTTGTATCAAAATACCCACAAAAAATATTCTCCTTTGGTATTAATGACACAAAAATGTATATTGTCATTAAAAAAGTAAGAAACTAAATAATAACAATACAATTTGTAAAAATATTTTTTTTTTTAAATGTTGTTTTGCAATGACATTGAATTACCTAATATGTAAAACATTTAAATGGACCACCTCGTAAATACTATAATAATAATTAATAAATGTCACAACATGATGTGAATGATATATGTATACCAATACCATCAGGTACCTACTTGAATAAAAATTATTAACTATTATCAACCAAATATAAATCTAACAAAAAAAGGAAAATCTCACATGCTAATTACTAATAATAAAAAAGTAATGAATTATATTAAGTTTTAATGATTCTCGAGTGAAGAAATCTTCGTGGCATTAAGTGGTTGATTTTAGTCGTTTATTAGAAAGCCAAACACCAATTCCGTAGTAAAGGTCTCCAGGGGTCACCTAGGATATTATGAATAGATAGATATAGTATATTAGAGAACTAAGTGGATGGTTATAAGTTAGAACGAAAGCGTTTAATTTAATATTTTATAAATCGAAAATTAAATACAACTATTAATTAATGTTATGTCCATTGCCTTTAAATTTAAATACGTTCAAATGAACATTACTAAACGGTATTATCGCATTCAAACCACACAAATTAAAACAGATAACGATTAGAATGATAAAGTTATCATTATTTTATATTGATAGGTAGGTATTACAGATGTTCGAAATAATTAAAGACATTTTTATATTAAAAAAAAAATATATTAGATAATGAGTATGGCCGAAAAAAGTTAAATGATACTTGTAAGTTATAATATCAACAAATCATACATCATACTATGTATTAGTACCTAACTACTCGAGGTCAGTCCCGATTAATGCATGATCTTGATATCAACCATGTAAAGACCATTTTGTGCGTGTGAAAACTTATGAGCACATATGTATTATATGCTGGATGATGGTTTATATTATACAATATATGTACCAACATTTTGTTTTCAAACCTTTATTCTTTTGTTCTCGCTAAACTCAGCAATTATTAGATTAACGCCCCGAGGCACATAAACCTTTAATAGTTTAATCCTGCCACTAATGAGGAGGTAACGCCAATTCCTTCCATAGTAAAAAAATTAATGTTAAACACAAAGTATTACTAATGGAAAAAAAAAAAACTTAAAATTTAAATATACAGAGTTCATTTTTTGAATACAATGATTTATCAAGGTTTAGAACCCGGCCTACCCAATAACTAGTTTTTCGTATCACATCTGAAATTTATTGACACTATGTAACTATAACATAACGTTCATATAATGTGAGAGTATTATAAATGTATAATATTTATTGATTTTGATTTTTAAATATATTATAATGAATACCGTGTTCATTATAGTAAACACGAGGCTTTATAGTATGTCATGAGGAATTATTTTATTAATTTTAATTTATAATATGTATTCAAAAGTGTATTTGAAAGAATAATAATTTTAAAACTTTAATCTGTTGAATGTTCACAATATTGTATTATGATAATTATTGTTCAAGGTATTTCCAGATAAACTATTTGTGTATTGTTTTTTTTTTATAATATTTATACACTTGGAAATATTGTATTAAAAGTTCTTGGATTAGAAATATAAACATATTATAATACAAATTTCCAAATATTAAATCTTATACATTTAAAATGCACAGCTTCACAGCTCACAGCAAGTATAAATATTAACATCAATAATATTCAACTAAAAAATGTTGTTTGTAATGTGTTATATAATGTGTCAAATACTAAAAACACAGTATTTTTTTGACATTTTATTTAAGAACATATAAGTACAAATATATGACATAATTAATATTATACATACAATGTGCTGGAAAACTTGTTTTCTAAATGATTTAAATCACCAAAACGCCAAAACGGAAAGAAACAAAAATGACAACTCATAAAATCACCATTCGCTGATCATGGATGTCTAAAAAAAATAGCAACATAACTAATAACGAGTACCTTTATGAATTATATTTTAATAATAATGTAGTCGTGTTACATTAAAAAAAATTTGTTTCTTTTATAATTTATCATATTTCATATATCTTATAGCACTAATGCAGTGTTAAAAATCAAGTACATAAGTATATTATATATTTGTATGTGTAGGTAACAATAAGTTACAACAAAAAAATATATTACACTTACAAATGTACACATGCAACTATATTATGCATACAATTTTGTACCTAATATTGATAATCTAAAATCTGTATATTATTTAATTTTTCAATTATTATTAATATTAATTTATATTCATATAACATTTTTAAACTTTCAAAGTTTTTTTGTCAGGACTCGAATTTGGGCCGAATTTGAATGTCTAATATAGGTGCGATGGGTATTTAAAAAAAAAACCTTGACTCATTATTTGGTCTCATAGAGTAATACCAAAGGTTTTTGAAAACATTCTGAAGGTTTTTAAAACCGTTTTTCATGTTATAACGTTTCCTACTTAGCATAACGATAACATAATACCAAAACACAAAATATAAATAACATCGTCTTCCTCCCAAGCGTAAGACATTATGTAAAACAGCTATTGGGCGTCAGTCGGTGCATCTATATTCTATAATCTATACAGTATAATAATAATATACAAGAAGCAGTTTGTGAGAAACCGGTAGAAAAATGTTACTTTCGCCGGAGACCTGCAGGTACGACCTGCCGACCAACACCGGCTATTAAACACAACGCACAGCCGCCGTGTTTGTGTTGTTTATAATATTATTACGTTGCAGTGTACGACCAGAATAATATTATTATTTTATTTTAAAATGCAGGCATACAGGCTGAACCAAGAAGACCCGACAATTATATTTCACGTTGAAAGTATGTACGAAATCTTCGCGATGCACCAATATAGGTTGGACGTTAAGCTATGTAAAACTGTGTGTACCTATGCGGTATGGTGGGTGACCGGCAGGTGCCTACACACATCCATAGACAATCATGGGTTGGCAGTACGGCGAGAGTGTTCGAACCGCGATCGCGTTATACTGGTGCGCGGGCCAGATAACAACGACGGCGGCGTCGGCGTGCGGCGGTCGATCATCATCATCATCATCATATTATTAATATTAAACGTCAGTGCTGCGATCAACAGGAAATAACAATTATTATAATACATTATTATCATCAGTATTATTATTATTATTATTCTTTTTATTACTACTTCTACTATTATTATTATTATTATTATTATTATTACAAAATTAAACCTCGTGATATCGCCGTGTGTAGTGCAACATAAAATACTGTTCACGGCGGTTAGATGGCCGTCAGTCGCAGTGCTTGATCGTATTATATATGTGTGCGGTGGTCATAAACGCGGAACGCCGAACCGCCACAGTCGTTATTTACCAAAATCCAACACTATAAAATATTAAAATGTCCTAAGATATTATAATTATTATTTTTATTATCATCGTCGTCAAGGTGTGTATAATACAAATTTCGCAAAAAATATATACTCTACGATCCGATTTTAAATTGTTACGAACGAGCGATATTGTTAACGGTTATAATAATTATTGTTATTTTTATAGTTCCGAAGACAACGTGAAAGCGCAAGAACCTAGGAAAGATCTTGTTGATCCAATAAAGCCGGACCACTGTCAGCGTCCAGAATAGCCGTGCCACAAAACATTATTTAGCACAAATAAGTAAGTGTATTTTGGTACTTGGTTATATTTAAAGAAAATTGTCAGTACAAGACAATACATTTTCGTAAGCAAAGACAAAAAAAGACAAAATCAATTTATCAACCATTTTAAAATTTGTCTGCCGAGTTTGTCCCGCGTATCGTATATTTATAATATATACATATATTATTAATTTTTTGCAAATTTACTACCGTTCATTTTATATTTTGATGACCACATCCATGAATTCATTTTTATTTTCATACCTACTGTAATTTTGCATGTCATATAAATACATTTTGTTTGAAAATTAAATTTAAAATAATAGTTTTTTTCTGTATACGCATACATAGTATCACAATATATGTACTTATATGCGCATATATTATAGGCTCAATGGCTGTTGCACCTTACGCATACCTCCAAACATAATATTATTAAAAACAACAAATCTCATACGAATGCTGTTATTATTTTAATATTATTGTTATCATTATATTATAAATGCCGGTGGGTATAGACGACTTCATACGTGGGCCTGTACAAACTCTGCCGTGTTTGTATATATTACGTATAGTCTAATATATGTGCGCGTTTAGCGGTTTTTAATTTCATAATTTATTACATATTTTATTCATAAAATATTCATAAGCCAATAGGTCGAACGGAATCGCTGCTGCGACTGTACAGTACGGAAATGTCGCCGTCGATTTCTCTCTTTTACCATTTCACCGAGCTCAACTATTATAGTATAATAGACTTCCGGTCTTGCACGGTTATTATTATTTCAGCGCTGCGCAATATTATCGCGTCTGTGTACACATTCGCGCGTTCAAATATTTAAACGACATTGACAAAGTGCAGCGCAAAGTATAACAACAATACGAAGCTAAAATAATTAATTAATCACGAACCGGTAAAATCGACACGGCGATGGCATCTAGCGCACACGTGATTCGACACTGGAGTCGCAGGCTTACGTAGCTGCGTATATACAATATGTATAAAGTTCTCCTTTAAATTTCACCGCTGTGAGCGGAACGAACACCGCGTCTTACACTAAATTTATCTCTATTTTAAAATATATAATGCACGAGAAATCCAGACGAATAGTTCTCACGCTTGGACGAGTCAGACGGACGGCTTTGGTCCTTAGTTACCTATAATAATAGATGTAATATGCACGTTGATTTCATGCTATATGCCATATAGGTTTGTTTACAGTTCAAATTTGCCATACATTTATAGGAATCTCGAATTGTTAGGGAAAAAAATCTAAATCTATAGATTCGTGTACTAACATAATATACAAACAGCAGGTTGGTTTTTAAAACAAATGCATCCATTGCATTTTTATTTTTAACTTTACATACACGTATAAATGTTTAATATGATAAGAAATATTTATCATTATAATTTATAACAGTATTGGAATAACGTCAAATTGACACAAATATGTATTATTACAGAATTTTTCAACCGAGAACTCGATGAATAAATCACGTTAAAAATATTGTGTGAAAATTGCAAAACGAATAACGTTGTGCACAATTAATTACAAAACATTTTATCGTACGTTGCCTATATATTATCCGTTTCCAATGTTTCCACTACTCAGTACTCTGACGTACTAACTAACAATTTAAAATTTAAATACCATAGTATGTAGGTACAAGTAATCAATATGTATACTTAAGCCGCGTCAATTGCTTAGTAAAACAAATTGTTTATTATATTTATTGGCGAGGGAAAAGGTTTTAATCCTCGTAAATACTCCTGTGATTCATAGCTGAACAGTATTATTAGTATTAATTTTGGTATTTTTATGTTTTTTGTTCAGCACTCGATTATTCGCACGCTACGCTTGAAAAAAATATATCGAACTGCGTAGATATGGACAACTGCGAAAAAGGATACGATAACTCTGCGTGTAACCCAAATGACGATGTCGGTGTGGCGCAGATACCGTCCATCGAAATGGACCGTGTGGCCGATACCAGGATGAATGCAGTCGTCGTGACCGGATGCTGCGGTGGCGGTCTGAACGGCAATGGCAACCATCAGTCAGGCGATCAGTCTCCCGAAAACGGCTCGCCGGACGCTTGTCAGCCCAAATGCCCAGCGGTCAGATCGTCACCCTGGGATCCACTAAAAACGCGGTTCGTGGCCGTCCTAACCATAGCCATGGTCGCGTGGGTGCTGATTGGAGTTTTCGTCAAAAACCTGTAAAACGCGAATAATTACTGCAATCACAATAATTCTCAAGCGATAATATTTTAAACGATGGCCGTTCCAACTGTGTTACTTACACATTTATACATGTTATAAATATATGATATATGATGCATTGTGTTCTTTTCAATTAATCACGTAATGTATCATTACCTTAAAATCTTACCACCTGGCACCCAAAATTCTTCTTGACTTTCTCAAAAATGTACATTGCAACCGGGCTTGTCTCCTGCGATTTTTAGCCACAATACATTCCTATATAAACACATTAAAATTATAACATATTATATTAATTTATTAATACTTTGAAAACTTTCTTCACCCAAATTGTACAATTATCGCATTTCTAATAATATATGGCAGTATAAGTAATGTACGTCTGCGGTGATAATGTACAGATGAATATTGTTTTCAAAATATATAAATAAAAAGTCACGTTAAAAATTAATTGTATTTAATGATGTTGTATTTCAACTAATCTAATGAATGTTTTAAAATAAATAAATATTATACATAATGTACAATGTAAATAAACATATATTTTACTATTTTAGTTTCGATCGTGTTTATTGTTTATACTTTATACCTATGTAGAAAATACTAGTAAAAACTGACATCTACAAAACATTGTTCATTTTAAAAATATGTTTTTCAATCTCAAAAAGTTTATTTTTTATAATATTTACGACTAATTTAAGATGTATATTTTAGCATGGTGTATTAAGTAATAACTACATAATAATGAATATATTTTAGCATTTTTGTACTGCATATTTTTGCATATTCTTAAGAATTTTAATTTATACTTTATGGTTTAATATTTCTTAAAAATACTAAACTTAGCTTTCAATGCTTTCATAACTTTTTCATAATAACAACGTAATACTTTTGTCATTATTATTATCAGTTTATTCTCTGCTCTCGTGAGTTGTAATCGTAAACACGTTTTATTTAAGGTTCCATTTAAATTATTTTTCACACATGCAGTGCATTATTATATTGATTTCCAGATCATCGATAGTGGAACCAACATAAATATTATAACGATAGGAAAATAAATAAAAAGATAAAAAACAGCTTTAACTCTAGTCTTAAATTATTTATAATATGCTTTTAAGTGCTTTTTAAGTCTATATTATTTTAAGAGAACGCCGAACGCTCATAAATGTCTCTATTTTACAAACATGCATACAAAAATCAATTTTGTGTTGTTAACTTTAATATTAGAATGAATTTATCTATTTTAAAACTTAAGTTAAGAATATATGTATAACCTAGGACACCTCATATTGATATTTTGATTTTAAAACAAGTTATCAGTATTTTAAAATTATTATATTTTACATACAGTTATGACGTATAACTATTATAACACACTTAAAAATCAAAATATCATTACAAGACTATGATATACCTAAAAATATTCGTACATTTCAGTTCAGTGAGACAACCAGGATTTTTTCAAGGGGTGGGGTCCACAACTAATAATCTGGTTTTATTATAATTGGTAGGTAAATACATTATATTTTTAAAACTAACAACGTTTGTAAACTATCAAGCCTGATATACATCCAGATTATGTGTCCTTTGAATATTTCTAAGAACAATAGTTTTGTCAGAACATTTAATAAACTAAGATAAATAATCTAAGAGTTCAAATGTCCGTATTAAGTCATGTACCTAATCATAAATGTGCGTATGTTGTTCATACTTGTTGAAATCAATGTATGGAAACATATTTGTTTGATTAAATTTATTGTTCTACTAAAAAACCATTGCTCTTTTCGAGTTATTTGCTTACATTTCTATTAGCATTTTATTTGTAGGATCATTGATGATAATACGATGTAAGTACTAGCGTATGTAAATATGTAATTACATCACATTTTTTATCTGCTTTATTTGTTAATTTGAAAAAATGAAATATACCTGTACTGTTGTACTGTTTTATACTGAAAACTATTATAAGAACATTGTAAGAAATGCTATGGAAATTAAATTTTGATAATGGACGGGTGATTTTACTCAAAAAACTATATACAAAACTAAAATTTATTTATTTATCTTTTAAGATGTGAAGTGAAATGAAGAATGTTTTAGTTTTTAAAAAACGTGTTAATTTGTATGTTTGTTATTATGTTATTTTCTTAGTTATTCAAAATTGAGAGTGAGTAATGGTCATAAATACCAAAATTGATCAAGTTTATACTTTGGGAAAATTTAACTGCTATGATATTCTAAGTATTTTTCTTAGTAATAAGAAAAACCACAAAACAAACAATTAGAAAACGTAAGTATTATAAATTATTATTTATCTATAATAATGAATTGATGCCACACTAATTTTCACAAAAATGGTTAAAAGTAAATTGTTTTCCTACGAATGTTCGATATTCATCAATTGATTATCGGTATTTGGAACTTATGAGAAACCTTGTATTAAATGTTCAATGCATAATAAATATAATTTAAAATGTTAATGTTCAAAACATTAACTCAAAAATACACCAAAAAAATTAGAATATTTCACTGTGTAAATTTGGAATTAATGTATGGCAAATAGAAGATAAGTTGTTATTAATGTTGAGTTCTCAAGTTGGTTTTTGTTTGAGGCTCTTTAACGTGGTGTAAAAATAGTAGTTTGTTCTATGAACTTCTTCACAGAATGTACATTTAGCTGGGAGGTCTATTGATTTTGTACAAGACGAAGATGTCGTCGAGGATGAGTGACACAAAAAGTTCTGATGTGGTCGTATGACTGGCAGTTTTGACATTATGGGATTTGAAGTTTTTTATGAGGTTCTTCGCCACCTTAATTTTTGTATGAAGCAAGGTGATGGATATAATATTGTTGTTTCCAACGGGGTTTAAGGTCAGTCATCACAATGTGTTTTTGTAAGATGATGTTTTATATCAGATATAAGTCATAACTTATATTTTTGACAGTGTGTTATGTTCGCTTATATTTCTTATATCGCCAAAGCAATATCTTCAACCGGAATAATTGAGTTAATTTTTTTATTACTTTATTCTCTTTGGTTTGTCAGATTGAAGTTGATATATTATATGGTATTAGGCATTGATGTCTTTTATATAGTTCACTAAAATGCTCTATAATGATCAGAAGTGTCAGTTTTGATTTTTGAATTGAAGTTGACTTGCAAATAAAACTGTTTAAGCCAATAATGTAATGAAAATCGTATAGCAGTCCGATAAAATTGACAACACCTTTTATACAGATAAGTGGAGGTAAAATACTCTTTTATGTATGTTTAACAGTATCAGATTACTCCTGATTTAAATTTATAGATTGATTATTGTCAACATCGTAGTTAGTAACTAAGGTTTCGGTACCGGTTGGGTAGTGATCGAGTAGAGTGACAAGTAAATGGATTTCTATTATAGGTGTTCAGCTGGTGGTGATTGTGGACTTTGTGGTTGTGTTGACGAAGAGGAGTGTATATTATCTTATTTGTCGAGGTCTAGGCTAAATTATAAAATTATCTTATTTTTTTAGTTACATTTTTTTAACAAGTGTAATGGGCTCTACTAGAGTGTCTTTCAAAGGTCAATATTCAGGTAATATGCATTTTCGTCACCACCACCGTGGCATTTGTGTTGGTCGTAAATAGTGATTTGTGTGAGTGTGGTGTGTAAAGGTGGCACTGGGCGATCTAGTACAAGTGTATATAATATATAATATTATATCCTATCCCTGGCCATCTACGCTACATGCGCAAACATGTCAACAGCATCGTCAACCAAAACACTCTTTACATAAAAACCTCTCAAGCCTTGTAGAGTGGTTTAATTTCATTATTTTTTTATTTATTAGAAAGAGGATAATTTTTTTCAGGGCGAATGACTTCGATTTTTAATTTCGTCGCTTAATACAATAATAATTAAATGGGTTTTAGTGAGTTATGAGCATTTTTAATTTACGCTATAAGATATATGCATAACTCACTAAAAATTGAACAATAATTGTAAAAAAAAACAATATACAAACACTACAAATAATGTTCTTACCATCAAGTAATATAATAGGTCGATTCACTCTAATTAACGAAGCTATACGTAATTTGCTGAGCGTAAGTTTGCTATGTTACGCAGTTGTTAGACGGAAACAACAAATTACAGTGTTACGTCTTCTAGACGTTTTTAACTGAAGATATAGTTATGTTGATATTTTCCTATGCCCAAGTCCGTATTAAGGAGAGGGGGGCAAATTGCCATGGCCCCCGGACCTCGATAATTGGAGCTTATTTAGGGGCCTCAGATTTGTCAGTTAATGTTTTCGTTATAGGCTATACATTGCATAAATCACCTAAAAAAAATCGATGATAAATCTGCTGATGACATTATTTTCAAATACATATGTCACATGCCTTCTATAATAATTCATAATAATAATATACAGTTTTTACTACTAAAGTGTATAATGTGTATAATACCTACCAGCCTATTGCTACACATATTTTCATTAATCGCCTTCCGACGGCCATCGCCCATCAATCGAACGGGCAAAAGCTATTTTTGTACACCAGTACACAACAACACAACACATTTACAACAAAATTGGTCGTCTTCTGTTATCGTTATTCGTTTGGACTCTTGCTAAATGAACAATGTTTTATCGTTTAATGAGTTAATTTTTGGATCTTTCATTTCTTCTTCATATTTTAAAAATGAAAAGACATGTTGAAAGTTCTTCTTCAAAAAGAAAAACAAAAAATTGAAGTAAATAAGTACAGAGGATTAATGAGTACAAAGGGCTCATTTAAAATTTTGGCTCCAGGGCCTCAAAATGTCTTAATCCGGACTTGCCTATACCGATACCTTAATTGGATGCAAATGTCACCAAGTGAACGGTAACAGCAGTTGATAGATAATGAACAGTGGTTGTTAATTATCTTATTAATTATGTTACTTTTTTCTTCATGGTGTATGTATAAAACTAAAATCTATGTAAACTTAGTCGAAAACTGGTGTTGTGTGCCTACGTATATAGTCACGCTTTCTTGTTATTTTTTGTTAGTTTTACCTTTTTTTTAAGTAATGAGAATCTCCTATTTCCCAATAATCAAACTCAAAATTGAAGTTTGAATCAAATTATCTACTCCAATACACACTCACATTATTATTCATCCAATGACCAACAGTTTCCTAGCTCCGCTCAGAACCTAAAAATTATTGTATACGAATATACAAATATTTTATATATCAACCGATAATTAATTATTATTCATAGATGTATTATTTTATCTATAGTTATAAAGTGTTAAATAATATTTTGAAAATGTATAATGATTGATAAGTGTTCTCTAAACCAAAACAATTGAATTAATAATTGAATCAATTTTATTGGTAAATGCTATAATTATAAATTATAATAGTATGAACATAACTACATTTTATACGTTGTCTGAGACCGTTGTGACTCAACTTAATGGTTGATCAATATAATTTTCTTAGTCTTCTTGTTTAGTCATTGATTGTAAAATCGAAAACAACCTTAACATAATAGCATGATAAATCGTTGAATTATTAATACATTATACCCAGTTACTTTTAATATGTATAATGAGTATGAATATAATATTTTTTCTGTTTTTTGTAACGAATATCAACATTTTAAGCTACTATATATATTCGTAATAAAGAATTCATACTTATTCGTAATTTTTATTTCTGTTCAAAATACTAAAATAAAGTTTGTCAAGTAGGAGCTATTATAATATTTAGCATTGCGGGCTTTTACAGATTTCATTATTCTTGCACCATTTTAAATTAGTAAATACTTCTGGATTCTGGAACAATTATATAATTATAAATAACATCAAAACTACTTCAATATATACATATAATATATTATAATAACAATAATTAGTTAACACAAGATATCATAAAAAATTACAATAATAATACCATAGAAGTGCTATACTTGGAGCAGTTGTGTCACATCGAGAATAATTTACATTTTTTTAGAATATCAGTGTCAGCACATTCGTTTTATCAATAGTACATTTTTCATAATATACACGAATTTTTTTTAATAAAACCATGCTAAGTTTTAATGAATATTCTAAGTTAAGTTATTCATTTTTAATAGTTAAAAAGTAGTATGAACCATACTTCTAAGAAACTTAATAATAACGACTTATAAGTATATTTTTTTTTCTAAAAGTACTTGATAAAATTATTTTTTTTTTGTATGTTATGTCTGGTTCCTATTTATAAGACAAATATATGAATTATTAAAACTCTAAAAGTTACAGTTATTTTTTTGAACTGAGGGTAACTGTTTATTAGTCCGCATACAATAACGAAATTAATAATTGTTTATGTTATTTTATGTATTGTGAAGTATTTTTATTAAGGTCATGACTGAATCACTAGTCACCTATTTTAGTGGTCATATAAAAAGTTTTATAAAAATAGATAAGTGAGTTTGAACAGTACTTTAATAATTTTTAAATATTTAAAGTAAGGCCCAATTGTTGCCGCTAAAATCAGCCTTCTATAACTATTTGTTATGAAGATATACTAAATTAACGTTTACATTTGGCCCAAGCATAGCACTTACGATGGAAAAGAAACTTATAAGTTATAATAATCGATATTTAGTGTTCGTAAAAAAATATATAAATAAAAAATAATAATAAAATGTGTAAAACTAAATATCTTAAATTCATAAGGTAATTTTTTTCAATAAAATATACATATAATAAACTGTTTAATAATATAGTAAAATGAAAAAATCTAAAGAGGTATAAAAAGTAAGTAAAAAATCACAATATTTCCGTTCGAATAGTTTTGTCATACAATTGAATTTACTTTCAGCAGTTGTTTGACTAGAGTTATACGTTGTATATAATGATTAAATTATGATTCACTTCGAAGAAATAGTACCTATAACTTTAAAATCTATAATTTATTTTAAATAAAGTATTTAAAAAAGAATATAAAAATAATAAATGAGCGAGTATTATTATGTACACAGTAATACTTTTAATTTATTACTGGAAATTCTTAGTAGGCATCAACCTAAATGGCAACTGAAAATTACGTTTTAGAAACGAATGAAAAATATTGATTAAAAATCGGTGTCGTAGTCGGGGTGATACTGCTGAGGTGGTTTCCTCGGTCCAGTAGTATAAGAAGCATTGGCATTATGATGAGAGCTTGGATAATGATGATGCGATCGTGGATTTGAAGCTGACGTGGCTTCTCGATGATAATGCCGTCTCTCAGCTCCGTAACCACTTGGATCTGTGCCGTAACCATAACCGCTACCACCAGTGTAATATCCAGTTTGAACTGGTGTTAGTGTCTGAGGCGCCAACGCTGTTGACCGCCAACTATCATAGTGACCACCGTGTTGTGTGTCTCGGTGCTGTAATTAATATATTTTTATTAGGTACATTAAAGACAAATAATAATCACAAAACTGTAAGTTGTATTGTAAATATTTTAGTAAACTCGAACCTTTTTCCCTGGAATATTAGGTGGAACTTTGACTTTTTCATGGTCATGGTCGGACCAAACCGCATCCATGTCGTACAAACGATCCACGTCTTCTAAATCGTCTTCATCCAACATCATCATGTCATCATCAATCGCATAATTATCGTAACCATATGAGCTGATGTTATATTGGGAATTGGAATGGGACGGTGGATGATGCATCATATGACGACTTCCAGTTGTTGGACCATTTTTACCCGTGCCATAAATATGTTGATTTTGGTCATCAGAAATCATGGATGCTTGTAGAGTTGGTGGAGGTACTTTTTTATTATTTTTATTACGACTTACGAGCTGTAAAATGTAATAAGGCAATATTAAAAGGTTGATATTTCCTGAAAACAATATCTAAAGAATAATGTAAATACCACTGTTATGCCAAATATTAATACGAAAAGTAATGAAGCAAGGCCAATAACCATAACAGCTACAGCCCATTGCGGTAACCACGCGTCATCATTTCCAGCGGTTGCCGTCACAGTTCTGGTAGGTTTAGGCAACACTGATAGAAAATAAATAAAAATGTTTAATTCTTGTTATAATATAAACAATATTATAGGTTTATTATATGCATTTAATAAAACGTTTACCTATAAAGTCTGTACGTGCTGGATCAACAGTAAACCTTCCTAATTTTAAATAAAGCCCTTCATAATCACCACCATTTCCGTATTGTAATGGTTGTGCGGATGATCCTAGATTTCCTTCTTTCTGTAATGTTTCATGAAATAGACGTCGAATGTCAGCGGTACTGACTGTACGTCCAAGTTGATTAAGCTGCACGAAGAAATCAACAAGAACCCCAGCATTTTTATCAGATTTTCCGTCACTGATTGCATTACTTCCAGGGCTAGTAAACAAATTTAAATTACAAGTTAATGTAACTCAACATTTCTATACATATTGTGGTAAGTTAACAATGATGAAAAATGATAATACACCTATATGACAACTTATCATAGAATTATAATATAGAACATATATTTTAAATAAATTCATCAATATAATATATTTTAAGTTTAAATTATTTTAAAAACATTAACTGAAATAAAAATTTAATTTGTATTACGTATAGTTATAGTTTTTGAAATGTAAACAAAAACTCTAGTCTATTATCACTTTTATTGTTATATTCTTATTTAGTTTATAGATTATAAAAAAAATTATCTTAATCGTTAATAACTAAAACTTGTTTACAATTTGTTTGCTTAAACATAATTTATACACATACCTGAATGAATCGATGGTTATTGTCTTATACCATTTGCTCAATGCCGGTGATTTACTGTATACTTTATCTAGCTATAAAATTAATTGAAAAATGTAAGTTATGTATACTAAAGTAATATTATATCAAAATATTAATATATTATTTACCTGAGTTTCAATTTCGCTCGCTAGTAACCTCCATTCTGCAGTATTGTGGTCTAATAACTCGGGTACCCATTTCTCTGATCCAGAACCAACTATTCGCAGTGTACCAACAAGTTCACATACTGAATCACTTTCCGAACACTGGCCGGGTGTTGTAGTGGGAGGTGGTTTCATTGTAGTTGTAGTAGTCGTGGTAGTAGTAGTAGTGCTAGTGGTTGGCTCTAAAGTAGATGTCATAGCAGCTAATTCAGCTGCTTTAGACTGTTGTAACAATTTTTCGATGGATAATGGCGTTGTTGATGGAGTAGACCAACCAGTGAACTCAGTTACAACCCTGAAAATTTGATTAAGTTGGATTTATTTAAATATAAAATATAATTAACAAACAAACAACCTTAAATTCTCGAATATAAACTACAATTACCTAACTGGCCATCCCTTTTGAATAGTGGGCGCTACAGTAACTGCAGCTTGCATTTTTTTACTAGAAGGTAATGGTTTCCTGGTTCCAGAGCTATTTGTTCCTTTTCCACTATTAGGGAAAACTATTCCTGATGTACTACTGCTAGTGATTGTTGTTGTTGAAGTAGTTAACGGAACGTCGGTCGTTGGAACAACAGTTGTCACAATCGATTCTTGTTCTTTATTTTTATTGGAGGTTTCAATATTTTCAGTTGGTAGTTTAAATCCTGGCGGTAGTAAAGAAGGTGACAAAATTTCGACAGGTTTAATAGCATCTTCTAATTTAAATCCTGGTGGTAATAGTGAAGCTAATGCTGATGAGTCATCAACAAATTTTATGTTCAAACCTGATGATTTTGCTTTTGCTGTAGTTGTACTAGGTGTAGTATTAGTAGAAATACTACTACTATTTTTTGGTTGAGGGCTACTAATGTTATTAGTAACTAGAGAAGGTATTTCAGTTGTAGTTGTAGTTGTAATAGTCTTAGATTTGTAAGCTGGAGGTGGCTTCGCGCTAAATCCAGCTGGGAGTAATCCACTAGTTAATAAATCATCAAATTTAACAGAATCTATTAAGCTCTTTTTCTTTCCAACTTGAATTGGTTTCACTGTGCTAGTTGTAGTAATAGAAGAGACAGTAGAAGTTCTTTGTTTAGAAGGTACAAATTTTCGAACAAATGTTGTTTCTTTATCAGAGTCGTCAGATTCTTCTTCTTTGTCTTCTTCTTCTTTATCCTCATTCTCGTCTTCTTCTTCTTTTTCAGATTTTTTAGTGGTACTGGGAACACTTGTAGTACTAGAAGCCATGGTAGTGCTAGAAGACATGGTAGTACTAGAAATACTCGAAGTGACAATGGTACTTGAGGTAGTTATTGGGATCATTGTACTTGTCAGAGTCTTAGTTGTTTTTTCAGTGTCCGGGGTTGTAAACGATGATATAATTACATCATTTCGTTTATCATCATTATTACCACTGCTCTGCATATCACTCAAAATACGACTACCATTATTTGTATTGGAAGAGCTACCATATAATATACCATTTGAAAGTTCTGATTGAACTCTATCTAATTTATCAATTATACTTTCTACTGTAGTTGTGCTAGTAGTTGTTATTGCAGGTTTATTATTAAATCTGTGTTTAGTTGTAGGAGTAGGTACTGTAGACGCAGTTGACTCTTGCGCAGAATGATTCTTATTTGTTCCACCTCCTACCATTGACGACGATGATGAGACTGATCTACTAGTTTGTACACTTGCGACTACAACCCAACTTTCAGTAGTTGCTATTGAACTATTACTTTTTTTTTGGTTTATTGTGACCGTAGACGATTGATTTACCAATGGAAATTTAGTTTGCTTCTTATTTAATGGTAATTCAGTAGTTGTATAAGATGTTGTTGTGTGTTCTATATCTTCATATTCTTCATATTCGTCTACTATTTGATGTTCTGTGGTTGTTGAAGGAGCCAATGTAGTAGTACTTGTTGTTGTTGGCTTTCTAGTAGTTATGCTTTGAATTATTGCTGGGTTGTTCACAATTTTTTTCATTCGTTGTTGTTGTTGTTGTTGTGGAATCAAAGTCGTTAAAGAATTTATTCTTGGTCTTAAGGCAGTTCTCAGTGTAGTAATTGGAACTGGGGGTGGTGTTGTTGTTGTTGTAGACTTTCGTGGTTGGAATTGACGTTTTTCTTCAACAGTTTGTTCCTCTTCGTCTTCCTCTTCTTGTTCGTAATCTAAAGTATTCATCGTAGTAGTGGTTGTAGAAAACAAGGAAGATTTTCTACTTCTTACTGTAGTTGGTTGCTGTCTATTAACTGTCCCAGATAATCCTGAAGGTTGCTGGGGGGCAGATCGTATGGTGGTGGAAGAAGATGCTACAACAGATAATGGACTAAATGTGGTAGGCCGCCGATTTATCGCCGAACCTGAAACTACAGCAGGTTGATTTCTATTTCGAAAAGCAGATGGCCCAGGTTGTGGCCTATGTGTAGTAATTATTGGTTGAGACCACGATGAACGATCATCATTCTCATCATGTATCACGGTAAATCCAATGGCAGCTGGTTCTTGCTGTTCTTCTAGGTTAATAATTGAAGATGGCTCTGGTGTAGTTATGGGTCTTCGCTTAGCCTGTAGCGGTTGACCGCGTCCACGTTTTGGGGGCTGGTTTTGTCTTTGACGGACTAATTCTTCAGCATCGTCTTTTGTGTTAATTCCATCAGATGTATCGTCATCACTAACAGCCACTGATTCTGAGTCAGCCGTTGTGGGGTTCCACCATCTAATGGAACCTGCAGGTGGAGGATTTCTGGAAACCGGTATAACTCCGTTAGTTTGAGATAAAGGGCGACGAGGAGAATCACTATTAAAACTTTCTTGGCTCGATTGTTGCAATATTAACGAGGGCTGAGCATTTTGACGCTCATCAAAGTTTTCTATAGAGTCTGGTTGTTCCGTGCGTTGTTGTTGCAAAGCCGGTCGAAAGCGTTGTTGTTGAGAGTTACTTGGAAAAAAATTAAACTGCTGTTGTGTTGGTGGTTGTTGTTGTTGTTGTGGCGGTAGTGGACGCTGTGGCGCTTGTTGGAAGAAAGATGGCGGTGAAACAGCATCAGTGAAACTTAAAGAACCAGGATTTCGAAGTGGTTGAAACTGTGTTTGCTGTCCGTTTAAAATAAATGGTTGGACATTCGGTGGTCTTGAAAATGGTCCAGAGTTTGTAAATGTTCCTGGTGGAAGCTGTTGTTGGGATGAAAAAAAACTCGATGAACTAGGATTAGGTAGTGGTAAAGGATCAGCAGAAGATAGTCTACGTTGAGGAAAGTTCAGGTCAGCACTGTTTGTATCTTCCTGAAATTGTACTCGAGGTAAAGCAAAATTTCCATTATTGGACGAAGGCGAAAAAAATCTCTGCTGACCTATAAACAAACATATAATGTATACATTATTTCTGTTGATAGAATAGCTGTGATAATTTTAATTTCTAAACAATAGCATATAACAATAGGAAAAACGCAATTGACATTTTAAGTATGTGTATAAAAAACATATTGGTCAGTTATTATAAAATTATAGGTCACACCATTACATTTTACTTTAACTTATTAAAGAATATTATTTCAAAATAATAATAACTAAACTGGTAAACGCACGTGTATTTTTTTAATAGCAGCACATAGAGAGAGTCGTGATGGAATTTCACTTGCAGGTGAAAATAATCACATCATATATTCCAGTAGTGTGTATACTGTATACTTTATATACTATGTGTAATAATGATAAGTTTCGCTCGTTATAAATAATACCGTAGATGAAGATAGCTAATTAGTACCTAGTAAATATAAGAATAATTCATATTGTACAATTTATTTTAATTGTTTTACAAAATTGCATTTATAATTGTACATTTGATACATAAATTAAAGCTACCTACATTGTAATAAGTGAAATAAAATAATTTCTAAAGAACATAGTTGATATCATTGTAGAGTGTATATTTTTGTTTAACAAAAATACCTACATTATTTACGAAAATTTACTTCAATGTTTCTAATGTATTCATATATTAAATAAAATGATTTATCGTTTGTTTATATTATTATTCTGCTTAATTAATATTGGTTAAAAAATACGTTAGTATAAATAGTAAATACACTAGGTATACAGTACAGTGTACACATGGAATACATACACAAAATATAAATACATTTTTTTAAGGTAGAATTTTGAATGCATAAATAAACAAGAACCATAAAATATGAAGTGTTTGTTTAAATTAAACTTTGTTAATTTGACATGGAAACTAATTGAAACTAGTATATTATTCATAATAATAAAAATAAATAAGAAGTTAAGGGTTCATAAGGTACTATACCTACAATATAAATGTATTGAATTATTTACTATGACTTGGTCATATTATCCATACATAATACGATAAATTATGATATTATATATTTATTTATGTTAAATAATAATATAGTTGAATCATAGAAGGTAAAATATTTTTAAAATAACTTAACCACTGTTTTTAAAAATTATACGACCTAGGTACGAGTTATTAGTATTACAAAATTAAGTTAAGTAAAATTATATTTTGCAATTTGTATAATAAAATACAATTTTCATCGTAAATATTTATTTATAATTTAGTTTAATAGTCATATCAAAAATTGATTTATATTCCGAGACTTTTTTATTAAATCTAGTGATTATTATTTAAATATGCTATGTATTGAGCACTTCTTACATTAAAAAAAAAAATGTAATAAATAAAACAAATAGCAAAAATAAAATTGAAAGTTTGACTTGGAATATTTTGTTATGTTTTACAAAAATGGCAAAGTTACCATAATATGACAAATTTAAACATTTTTAAGAAATATTATTACTATATTAGTGCTTATTTTCATATATGTACATGTACAATGTACATACAGTACTTCCCAAGTTTTTTCCCCTATAATTGTAACTGTATATTTTATATCATTTTTTGGTATTTTAATTGCCTAATATTCATACGCATATTTTGAACGTTTTTAGTGCGCCTAGGTCCCAATCAAACTAAAATTAATAACATAACTTATATTATGTGACATAACCAATGTATGAGAAAAATTAATAATTATGCATGTTCTTATAAATAGTAGTACCTAAATTACCCTCCATTATATATTATTGAAAAAAATTGATATATGATAATGAAATATTTTATAATTTAGATAGTTAAAACTTAAATCTATCAATTAGATTTCCATATAAACATAAAGAAAATAAGTCTTACTGCAAGAACAAAGTAGTAAACATTAGTTTATAATTTGTATAAAATAAAAAGTATTTAAATTATTGGTTATAATAAATAATATACAATGATCTAATAATTAATAACACATTTCTTTCAAAAAACCATTATACTGATAAGTACTAGCATAATATGTTATAAATTCAAATGTTAATAACTATGTGCATGTCGTATAATATATTTTAAGTGTAACAACATTACCATTAAATATGGTTATTAAAAAATTAAAGATAACAAATTAAAAATGAGTGGCAACTGGTATACAAATATTCACACATAATTCAGTTGTTATCATAAACATAAAATATCAAAAGTATACCCAATAGAACTTAAAAGTACCAGCCAACAATAAATTATTAACATAATTATAAATACTCCCTAACTCTATCCAATAACAATAGATAATTGAAAATATATTATAATTTCCTGCAATTCTAGATGTTTAAAAATACCTTAAATGTTATTCTTTTATAATATAATCATTTGTTTTATAACATTTGTATGAGTTTTTTAGATAGGTATCCACTTAAAACTGTTTTATATTATTATTTTAAGAACTGTCGAAATAATAAAAACAATACATTACCTACTAATTTTAAATTTAATATTATTAAAAACTTGATTTACAAGTTGATGACATTATTGTGTTAATTCTTTGATAGTAATTTCACGCCAATTATTTACTACTGGTGTTTTCATTGTGAGACTATCCTGTGATAACGGATCTAAATTTCACAAGCTAAATCGCGTTTATGTGTAGAAAGCTGAACATGCCACCCATCAGACAGAATTCCAAAATAATTATAATATATGTATAAAAAACAAAACGTTTTAAAATTTAAATGAACGTATCAAAATAAATAATAAGATAACATTTAAGAATAAATTGTATATTTTGTTATTATTTTATTACTCCTGTAATAAGCTATATAGCTCTTCATATCACTATATAACACTGTCCGATAGTAAATTTTGGTGAAAAATGAAAAAAAAATATCAACATTTCAAGAATGCACAAATTATAAACATACGGAAAAATATCATTGTATTAACTTGCTAAAGTAGTAAACTAGAAAATTTACTACGTGGATGATAAACTATAAGTAAATTATATTAGGCATGACGTATATTAGATGTTTGATAAACGGTTATAACTGATTTTGGTAATTCGAGGTGAAATATTAAAAAAAAAAAATAATGACATTTAGGTACTAACAATGTTGCAATATTTTGACACCTAATAATTATTAATATTAATATCAAAAAAACATTTAATAACATTCAATCTCAAGTTATTATATAGGTATAATCTGTATAGTTTACAAACAATATATGTATAAAATGTTACATATTATTGTACCTAACTGTATTTTCATATTATATTTGGTTACTTTTATAATATAAATTAAGAAATTTGAATGAAATATAATAATAGTGAGAATAATCATTATTATTGTTATTATTATAGTTGCCCTATATTATTAAATACCAAGTGAAAGTGCGATTGACGAAGGTTACTGCATCACCACAAACAAATTTTTAACAACAACGGTGCGACTGTTATTATAAAACTTTATACGCATACCAGTTAAAATTGCAATACATACTATTAATATATTACCTATTTTTCATATAGACTTTATATAATACCAAACCTAGCTATTGTTAAAAATACAAAATACCGTTTAGTTTTAATAGATGTAAATTTCGATAGCACGTGCGTTCATAATAGAAAAATATATCCCCTCGAGACATTTTATAATATTCTATAACAACAGAAAACGCAAGATGAAAACGGTAATAATGGATGATGATTGTACATTGATTTCAAATGGACTGGCTGAATAAAAAAATCTAAATCGATTTTCAGAGTGACCGCATGCTGGCGTGGAATAGGTTAAGTTAGGTATATATCGGTACTATATAGTTGATATTATGAATTATGATAGGATATTTCCGACAACCCAAAGACGATTATAATAATATAAAAAAATAAAATAAAATCAACGACTTTAATTATTACAATCGCGGAGCAATTAAAACGGCTCGCTGGTCACAGCCGGAATTAATTGTTCTTGCCTCTGTCTCGGTTTATTATGAATTATTATATTATATTACAATATTCAACTCTATTGTGTATTGTATGAATTAACGGCGACTCTAGAATCCCTTAATGCGAAATCCTAATAACAATAATAATTAATACTTTTAACGGTTTAATGTTCGGCGTAGACACATGTTTTTGACCTTTTTTTTAGTACAACAGACATATACACATATGCATATTATAATCAGTAATACTTACAAAATAAAATACATTATACATTTATAATGGTAAGACATAATAATTTCAGGTTGCTAAGAACTTATCTTTTACTAAATGCCCATGGTTTTTTTAATGGTTATTCACTATTTAGTATTTACTATATATTAAAAATACAGTAAATAAATCAAAGTAGGTAAATCCTTAAATGCTATATTGTATGTTACAGTAATTCAAAAAGGAAGTGGTAGTATTTCACAACAGTTATAACTTGTAACTACTTTTAAGTTTTTCTAGTTCTCATAGTATCCAAGGCTGTTCAGTTACTAAAGATAATTACTTAATATTTAAATTGTATTAATAATATTACTATAAACCGGTATTCATATCATATTATACGTTAATATTTAGGTATTGAAGATTATTCTGCAAATTAATGTTACACATCCAGAATTATCGTGATATCATGTGTTATAGTTTTTTTTTTAATCTCACACAATATGTATTTATTACACCTTTCCATCTGTGGCGTAAATTGTTAATGATTGCATTTAAGGTCTTACAAAAAGTTAGAAACTACTCATTTTATAAGTTATCAATCTATTAACGATTAGTTTAAATGTATAACATTTATATTGAAATGTGTTTATTTCGTGTATTATTATAATTCTTATTTTTTGCGAAGAACATTTTTCACTCTAAAATGTTATCTTATTATTTTTTTTATTGAATTTAGTGTAGATAATAATATATTTAGGAAAATATAAGAAAGCCAATACTTTTATACCTATTTTAAGTTTATCAACGCAAAATTCGACTGATTAAATTGATCTAATATACCTGTGCCAAGACTG